CTCTATTTAGTGAGCATGTGTGTGTGTCAGTGAGCTTGTCTTAGTGAGCTTGTGTGTGTGTGTCCCTGGAACTTCTTTTGTAGTGAGCCTTCGTTTATACAAGTGAGTGTCTGTGCAAGCTTCTGTGTGAGTTTCAGAGAGTTTGTCTGTCAGTAAGCCTATTTGCGCATGCCGCAGCCGTGTGTTTACTGTACTATATATATATATATATATATATATATATATATATATATATATATACACATATATATATATATTTATTTTGACTTGTAGGAATGGCATACATTTTTTTTCAGGGCTGCTTTGGATTCCCAGGGATTCCCAGTTTGGCTCTGCCAGCGAGTGCACTTTACCGCTGAATAATCTGTGTGAGTTGCCGCACACTTTAGCCCTGTTACACGCGTCTGGGAGCTGCTGTTTACAGGTACTAGTAGTCTAGAGATTGGGGTATATGCTCAGCTATCTATAGAATACAGATCTGTGTGTATAAAATATCCCGGGATAGTCAGTGCTTCCTGTATAGTGCTGCTCTCTGTCTTGGGATATTATACACAAACAGACCTGTATTATACAAAGAGCAGCACTATACAGGGAGCACTGAGTGTCCCAATTTATTATACACACAACCCTGTATTATACAGAGAGCACTGACTGTCCAGGGATATTATACCCAGACAGTAATTGATAACTGTGTTGCAAAATGTCATTGGAAATCTTTTTTCAAATGTTGGCAACTATGGCACTGTATCAACGATAATGTGTTTGTTTTTTTAATAATCCCTGGTGGAAAATAATGAATCCTCCACCAGGTATTATTAAAAAAACAAAACACATTGTGTCGGGGGGGTGGCTTAACATGCGACAGGGGCGGGGTTAAACTGCGACGAGGGCGGGGTTAAATGTGCCCCCCTACTTTTGTCACTGGCCCTCCATGTGCCCCCCCGAAAAATTTATCCTAGAGACGCCACTGCTGCCGTAGGGGGAGGTCTTTCGGCGGCCGCAGGGGGAGCTGGCTGTTCTGTCTCTGCTCCCCTGCCCTCTCGCGCTAGAAAGAGACCGGGGCCAGAATATAACGTCATATTCCGGCCCTGGTCTCATTAAGCTGCGTGCTGGGGCGGGGGAGCAGAGATAGAACAGCCAGCTCCCCTGTGGCCGCCGAAAGAGCTCACCCTGCAGCCGCCAAAAGAGCTGCCCCTGTGGCCGCCAGAAGAGCCAGCTCCCCCATGCCGCCGCCATCATACTGAGCCATTATGTGTGTCAGTGTGAGTGTATGTGTGTGTCTCTGTGTCATTGTGTGTGTGTCTCTGTCTGTCATGGTATGTGTGTGTCTGTCTGTGTCATGGTGTGTGTGTCTGTCTGTGTCATGGTGTGTGTGTCTGTCTGTGTCATGGTGGGTGTGTGTCTGTCTGTGTTGTGATGTGTGTGTGTCTGTCTGTGTCATGGTGTGTCTGTGTCATGGTGTGTGTGTCTGTCTGTCATGATGTGTCTGTCTGTGTCATGGTGTGTGTGTGTGTGTGTCTGTCTATCATGGTGTGTCTTTCTGTGCCATGGTGTGTGTGTGTCTCTGTTTGTGTCATAGTGTGTGTGTGTGTGTGTGTCTGTCTGTGTCATGCAATGTGTGTCTGTGTCATTGTGTGTGTCTTTCTGTGTCATGGTGTGTGTGTGTCTCTGTCATGGTGTGTGTCTGTCTGTGTCATGCAATGTGTGTGTGCCATTGAGTGTGTGTGTCTGTCATGTAATGTGTGTCTGTCTGTGTCACGGTGTGTCTGTGTCATGGTGTGTGTGTGTTTGTCATGGTGTGTGTGTGTGTATGTCTGTGTCATGTAATGTGTGTCTGTCTGTGTCACGGTGTGTGTGTGTCTGTGTCACGGTCTCTCTGTGTTGTGGTGTGTGTGTCTGTGTGTCATCGTGTGTGTGTCTGTCTGTGCCATGTAATGTGTGTCTTTGTCACAGTGTTTGTGTGTTTGTATCATGGTCTGTCTGTGTTATCGTGTTTGTGTGTGTCAAGGTGTGTGTGTGTGTCTTTTTAAAGGTGTGTGTCTGTCATGGTATGTGTGTGTGTCTGTCATGGTATGTGTGTGTCTCTGTCATGGTGTGTCTGTGTTTCTGTCTGTGTCACGGTGTGTGTGTCTGTGTCATGGTCTGTATGTGTCATGGTGTGTGTCTGTCATGGTATGTGCTTTTTTGACATTTTTTGTATGGATACTTTTTATCATTGTATAACGCTAAAGTATCCCATTTTGACAAGTCACATTCTATAAACTTAATGCCACCTCTTCTGAGATTAACTCACTAGGGCAACGCTTTTTCCTGGGGCTCTTAGCAGTGCAAGACGAAATAGGACTGCCGCATCAGGCACCTGTAACAGCGAGGAGTGAAAACCAGGGGAGTTATGTTTTATGAGCTTTGAATTTGGTTGTTTAATGAGTGAGTGGGTAAGCGCTCTGGAGTAAGCGCTCCAGCAGTATCCTTGTAATGTATGCATGTATAAGTGAACAGGGGGTAGAGTCAGCGCTAATCAAGGAGGCAGCAGTCCCAAACAGGGACTCCCACTAATGTCCCTGCAAATCAAATAGTAGAAACAAAAAAATTGGGGGGATGGGTCTGCGCCAATGTGTACAGTAAATAATAGTATAGAGTCCAATAGGATCTGTATTGTCGTGTCCAAGGTTCTACTTTTAACGATATCCAGAAGGTGTCGGTGGCGTGAAGAGTAATCCAAATGTATGACAATAGAAGAGATCTTACTTACAATTTGCAGAGCTTAATCCAGCTCTGGTGTGAATGGTTTACAGCGGTGTTATCCCCGCTTGCAGGATATGCGGCAAGTGTCTTCTTCTTTGTGATAACGGGTAACCAGGTTGGAAGATATAAAATAGAGACAGTAATAGTGCAGTATGTTCCACACGTATGGTAAAAGTTATAAAAGATAAAATAGATACACTCACATTCGGTAGAGCTTTGACTAGCTCTAGTTGGTTAGGCGTACAGCGGTATCATCCCCGCTTATAGGATATAGGGTGAGTGATTTTGACGAGAGTATCAGGAGCTCGGAGAGAAGATAAAACAGCGATAGTGCTCTCAATAAAATTTAGATAATAGAACAAAATAATAAAATATACTCACACTATATAGGGCAGGCTAACTGTTCTATGTGACAGCGTAGGTGGTATAATCCCCACCTGGGATTCTTGGAGTATAGTATGCAGGAGTTAAAAATAATAAAAGAATATAATAGTAAAAAATATATATAAAACGTATATAAAAGGCCACGTAGTAAAAAAAAGGAGAAAAGATGATGGTTTAAACGTAAAAATGACCAAAATCTTTTTATTAACAATATATAAAACAGTAAAAAGTATCCAAACGCGTTTCGCCAGTATAAGGCTTTATCAATGGATAGTAAACATATCAACCTGGCTGGTTAGAGTTTATATAGGTATAAAATTAGTTTAAAATTGGCGCCAAAATTGTGCAACCAATGGTAAAACAGATCATTTTTGCAATTATAAAACAGCTTTTAATGATAACAGTTGAATAGATGTAACTTGTCTGATGCTTGTAATATAATTTTTTTATGAAAACAAGCGTTTTTTTAATATTAATTTCATTGCTTTGGCCGGACCGTGTGACGCGCGTCATAAGCGTGACGTCACTTCCGGTCCGGACGGAATCATGGGGCATGTAGTTGGAAGATAAACTACATGTAGGGAAATTACATAGAGCCCAGCATTGGGCTAGGGGGAGGAGAGGGAGGTGGGTAGAGGGCGTGCTTAGGAGAATCACGTGACGCACGTCTTAGACGTGGCGTCACTTCTGGCCTCACGGGATGCTGGGACATGTAGTTTGGGGATAGACTCCATGTATTAAAAGCAAATAGAGCCCTCTATTGGGCTAGGGGGAAGGAGAAAAGAGTACAAAAACAATGATGAAGGCGGCCATCTTAGGTGGGGAATATGGGCCATAGAAATAACATAATAGGTGGCCATGTTACTAGGGGCAAACGCGTTTGGATACTTTTTACTGTTTTATATATTGTTAATAAAAAGATTTTGGTCATTTTTACGTTTAAACCATCATCTTTTCTCCTTTTTTTTATTACCTGGCCTTTTATATACGTTTTATATATATTTTTTACTATTATATTCTTTTATTATTTTTAACTCCTGCATACTATACTCCAAGAATCCCAGGTGGGGATTATACCACCTACGCTGTCACATAGAGCAGTTAGCCTGCCCTATGTAGTGTGAGTATATTTTATTATTTTGTTCTATTATCTAAATTTTATTGAGAGCACTATCGCTGTTTTATCTTCTCTCCGAGCTCCTGATACTCTCGTCAAGATCACTCACCCTATATCCTATAAGCGGGGATGATACCGCTGTACGCCTAACCAACAAGAGCTAGTCAAAGCTCTTCCGAATGTGAGTGTATCTATTTTATTTTTTATAACTTTTACCATACGTGTGGAACATACTGCACTATTACTGTCTCTATTTTATATCTTCCAACCTGGTTACCCGTTATCACAAAGAAGAAGACACTTGCCGCATATCCTGCAAGCGGGGATAACACCGCTGTAAGCCATTCACACCAGAGCTGGATTAAGCTCTGCAAATTGTAAGTAAGATCTCTTCTATTGTCATACATTTGGATTACTCTTCACGCCACCGACACCTTCTGGATATCGTTAAAAGTAGAACCTTGGACACAACAATACAGATCCTATTGGACTCTATACTATTATTTACGGTACACATTGGCGCAGACCCATCCCCCCTATTTTCATGCATGTATAATTGTCTAGTGAATGGAATATGTAGTTATGTATGTTACAATTGGGCATACAAATATTAAATACTGAA